CTTGCCTGGAGAATTCCATGGACAGAGGAGACTGGCAGGTTATGGTCCATGGGGTCACAAAGAGTCAGACACGATCGAGTGACTAACACTTTTCACTTTCATGCAGTAGCAGTAGATATTAATTCATGAAACATTTGATTGTTATAAAGTGCCTTGTGTACCAGATGGTGAAGTAAAATGTATTTCTTAACATAAGTTGTATAAAAAGAGTTGTGTTTGTCTGGAAGTGCAGACATCCAAGTTGAGATGGTCAAGACTGATATCCCAGAAGCCTGATCCAGTGGTCTCTTCTCAACCTCATCTTGATTTCTTGGTCCTGTTTGGCACCAAAGTCCATCTTCTGTTTGACTTTCTTTCCTTTGTTCACCTTTTCTCTTTCCCATCCAGTATTTCTTTTGAAGGCAACCCACATCAAAATAACTCCAGGAGGGTAGGGACCTGTGGTTGTTGGCCTCCAAGTTGCCTACCTCTTCCCTCTCCATGATTTTGTCTCTTGTCACCCTGTGAACTCTCCTCTCACAGTAAATAGGATTCACCTACGTAAACAATAGGATTTTGCAGAAATGACAAATGTGACTTCTGAGACTGGCTCATAAAAGATGTTGTGGTCTCCACCTTGGTCTCTTGGATCATCTGCTCTGGGGGAAGCCAGTTGCCATGTGATAAGGACACTCATCTTGGAAACAGATCCTCCAGTCCCAAGTATGTCTTCAAACTCCTGAAATCTGGCTTACAACTTGACTACAGGCTTGTGAAAGCTCTGGAGCCACCCACCTGAGCTGCTCACAGATTTTCTTGATTGCCAGAAACCAAGAGATCAAAAACGTTGCTGTGTTAAGATGTGGAATTTTTGAGTAATCTGTTATGCATCAATAGATAATGAAGGGGGGATGTTGTGGTCTCTTTAGACTGCATGTCTCTACCTAAGACATACAGAGTTTGGTTTTCTGGGGAGGGACCTAGGAATCTGCATGAATGTCTCTGCGTGATTCTTTGACCCTCTATAGTTTGGGAACCACTCTTTTTCACTGACTGCCCTCCTTTCTTCCCTCCCTCCATTCCCTTATCCTCCTACAGTACCGTTCCCAAAAGCTCTGTCCAGGGCTTCTTTTCTTTTTATTGTGCACTCCCTGGGTCAGGTACATCTGTTCTGTGACTTGAACATACAGCCTTGGAGAAACCCATGGACCCACTTCTTTCACTCCAGGCCCTCTTCAAAACCCCTAAGCTGGGTTGCTCTGGTGTCTCAGTGGTAAAGAATCCTCCTGTCAATGCAGGAGACATGGGTTTGGTCCCTGACCCAACAAGATCCCCCATGCCACAGAGCAGCTAACCCCTGCACCACAACTATTGAGCCTGTGCTCTAGAGCCTGGGAGTTGCAACTACTGAAGCCCAAGTGCCCGAGAGCCCGTGCTCCACCACAAGAGAAGCCACAGCAATAAGCCCTCACGCCACAGTTAGAGAGTAGCCCCCACTGGCCTCAACAAGGGAACAAAAGCAACAAAGACCCAGCACAGCCAAAAATAAACAAATAAAATAATTTTCAAAAAAACCTCCTTCGCCCTGTTTTCCAACTGCCTGCCTGATATCTCCATATGGATCAATATTTCTCTTCAGCAAATCAAACTCAGTATGTCCAACATGGAACTCATAACCATCCTTGCAAAACTTTTGCATTTCTGTTCCCTATTTTTGATAGCAATTTATAGCTTAGTCTCCTAGGCTCTGAATCTTGATAGCATCCTTGTGTCCTCTTTTTTCTTGCCCTCAACGCATCCTGGTCTGTAAAATCTGACAGTCCTCCTCTTCAGAGCCTCCCATGGTGACTGCCACTACTCTGGTTCATATCTCATTACAGCTTATCGGGACAGCTGCCCCACTGTTTTCTCACTCTATTCTTTCCCCACAACGTCTTTCATTCTAAGTTTTGATCCTTTGATGACTCTAGTTTTCTTCTGAATAAAGTTTAAACTCCTTGGAGTGGCATGTAAAGTCCTTTTAACAGTGTGGCCCTAATGGGATGTTCTACCTTTATTACTAATTAATTGCCATCTCCTAATTTACCTCTTTTTTGGGCTCCAAAATCACTGCAGATGGTGAATGTAGCCATGAAATTAAAAGACGCTCACTCCTTGGAAGGAAACTTATGACCAACCTAGATAGCATATTAAAAAGCAGAGACATTACTTTGCCAACAAAGGTCTGTCTGGTCAAGGCTATGCTTTTTCCAGTGGTCATGTATGGATGTGAGAGTTGGACTGTGAAGAAAGCTGAGTGCCGAAAAACTCATGCTTTTGAACTGTGGTGTTGGAGAAGATTCTTGAGAGTCCCTTGGACTGCAAGGAGATCCAACCAGTCCATCCTAAAGGAGGTCAGTCCTGGGTGTTCTGCTGAAGCTGAAACTCCATAGTTTGGCCACCTGATGCGAAGAGTTGACTCATTGGAAAAGACTCCGATGCTGGGACGGATTGGGGGCAGGAGGAGAAGGGGATGACAGAGGATGAGATGGCTGGATGGCATCACCGACTCAATGGACATGGGTTTGAGTAAACTCCAGGAGTTGGTGATGGACAGGGAGGCCTGGCGTGCTGCGATTCATGGGGTAGCAAAGAGTCGGACACGACTGGGCGACTGAACTGAACTGAACTGAATTTACCTCTATGCACACAAACTATCCAGGAACAAGGGATTATCCATAATTTCCCAAACATGCCTCAAAGAGGTCTATATCTTTTCTCATAGGATTATGACCCCTATAGAATTAAAAGTTTCCCTTGAGAATTTAAAAAAAATGCTATAAACTACCTTGCAAAATTTACTTGTGATGTAGTCTGCAATGGTAGATGTGAGGTAGTCTGCAATGATAGATGTAGTCCATGTCTGCACCCTTTCAAGCCAGTCCCCAAACCAGGTTAGGAGAAGGTAAGGGGAGAGTGTAGGTACAAACCTCACTGAGTTACTTTGTTGCCTTTAGATAACAGACATGAAAAACGAATTTTCAGCTTCCTATGGGGCTTCACCAGCTTTAGCTACATTGATTGTACTTCTGTGAAAATATGTACTCACTGTTCATTTATTGAGCTGTACATTATTAACCCCATCCTAGGCATCGTGGTGGTGGATGTCAAGACTAAGACCTAGTTCCTGCTCTTTGTCAACTCTGGTAGAGAGAGTAGCAATTAACAGAAAAAAGATACTAAAATATCAGGGGGACTTCACCAGTAAAGAAAATCACCTCTAGGTTGGAAGAGTGGGGAGCAGGGATAAATAACTGCCTACCTCCCACACTTTCAATGTAAACTCCAGGAGGGCAGGCATCTTTGTTTTGTTCAAGTCTGTATTTCCAGTAGCTAGAACACAAACCTACACAGAGTAGGACCCAAGATATATTTGTTGAACGAAGGGGTAATTGAATAAAAAAATTTTATGTAGAAAAAGTATAGGTTTAGGCTCATAACTGTGAGCCCCTTAAAGACTGAAATGATATCCATTTGCATTTTTATGGATTTGCATTGTGTTCAGCATGTCTTAAATGCTCAATAAGTGCTGGATGAATGTTGAATAAGTGATTCCATAGTGAGGCCTGTTTTCTCCCACCCCTTTCCTTGGTGTCATGGAGTGTTAGCCTTCCTGAAGAAAATGTTCATGCTAAGTTGACAGTGGTTTTAAAGGTAAGCATCTTTAAGAAACCAAGATAAAAGACAAGGTTATAGAAGAGGAGGCAAGATAAAAAGGTCAGGAAAATAACATTCTTAATGTAATTAACTGCTGAAAGTGTTCATGAAAGCATTGGTTTGCTTTTACCTAATAGTCCACTCAGAGAAGGCAATGGCACCCCACTCCAGTACTCTTGCCTGTAAAATCCCATGGATGGAGGAGCCTGGTAGGCTGCAGTCCGTGGGGTCACTAAGAGTCGGACATGACTGAGTGACTTCACTTTCACTTTTCACTTTCATGCATTGGAGAAGGAAATGGCAACCCACTCCAGTGTTCCTGCCTGGAGAATCCCAGGGACGGGGGAGCCTGGTGGGCTGCTGTCTATGGGGTTACACAGAGTTAGATACGACTGAAGTGACTTAGCAGCAGCAGCAGCAATAGACCACTACAATGGAAAATTTGACTATATGTGGTGACACTGTTAAACCATCTCATTGGCAACACTTGCTTGATCTAATCCAAGAACCAAATATTGCTATGTAGAGGTCAAAGTTTAGAGTTATTGAAGATCTATCCTACTCAGAATTAAATAAAAAAGCCAAAGGTCCAGATAACATTTCTGCTACTGTTTTTCCCCACCCCACCCCCTGCAAGCGATCTACATTTTATTAACTGAAATTATATTCAAAGAATCAGATATTTATGCTTGACTCTTAAGTGAAAGTTATATCTTTTCATATTGCAATTGCTTAAGGCTTGTTTTAGTGAAAAGCCCACTGGGTCCAGAATTAATTGCTGAGGAAGAATCAAAAGCAAGAGAACACGATGGTCTTTGCCCTGAAGCAGCTTACCAGGAAAGCAGGTGAAACACTTATTAAGAAAACAAGGTGAGGGAAGTAAAGAAATATGTGAGTTCAGATTAATTTACAGACTTTTGACAGAGCCTGCTAGTGGACTGCTGAAATCTTAACTTACCTTCTCAAGAAACGTCTGTCCCTGGGACTACATTTCCCAGCTCCCTTTGCATGTTCATGAAATCATGTGACTAGCTGGCCAAGTGACCTCATTCTGGCCAATGGGATGTTGGCAGAAAGATGTGGACCACTTTCAGGCCTGAACCCTATGCCTGGTCTCCTCCTTCCCCTTTGGGCTGATATAAACAAAACAAACAAACAAACAAATTTTTTTTTTTTAAATTGTACTGTCTTGGCCTGGTTTTGAAGCCCTGAATAGAATTGATCTAGAATTGCCTTCTTAGGCAGCCAATTAACTCCATATTCCAAATCACTTCACTTGTTGGGAGATGACCAGGGACGACCCTGATGCCCAGAGCCTTCCCACCCCACCAAATTATTCAAATCAGTCAATCTACAGGGAGTTCATAAAAACTAGCTAACTCACTCCCCACCCCCACAATTTCCCATACATCAGTTGCCCCACAGAACCCAGTTTGCTGTTACTCCGTCCTTGGATACAGCCCCCTGTGTGGCCCTGCTTAACAACATTCTCTCCTTAAGAGCTCTAAGTAAGTAACAGAGAACTCTACCTTTCATTTGGCCAAGTGTCATTGTGCTGGGTCTCACCATCTTTAAATCATGAGACAGCTGAAATGGCACGATCAGAGTCTCTTGGAAACTATATTGAAGATGACAAAATTACCTTCTGCCTGGACCTGAGTAGTTTTCTCTAACTCTCGCATTTCTACCTCACTGACAGCGCCCTAAACTATTCTATGAAGAGAAAGGAACTTCTATTATGTTGGAGCTATTCCTTGTTTTGGCTTATTGGTTGTGGCAGTGTAGCCTATTATGATTATTACAGGAAAACAATCAATCCATTGCTAGGGATATCGTGTGGAATAAGGAATTATCCAGAGAGACAGGGGAAGCCACTATCTCAATAATCTTTATGAGGAGAGGAGCTCAGAGTTGTTCTATTTAAAAATGTCAAACTAGTGTAGCAGTTAACCTTTACTGGACATCTTTCCACTCCTGTCCAAGAAAAAGCTTCAGTCAAAAGAATGCCCTATGTAGACAAATCTCCATTATCTCTAGTTTCAAAACATACCATCAGCACATAGTATTCTCAAAGTTAACTTCATGTCCTTAAGCCCCAGTTTCATTCTACCTTCTCCCCCTCTATGTTTATCTTTTATCCTCCTATCTTTTCTTTTGCATTGCAAATTAAATTTTAATTACATAAGCATTACATAATAGTCTTCTAACAAAAATTATATGCAAATAATGAAAATAAAATTATTCTTTGATCACTCCCCCAACAATTCCATTTGCTCTCACCACTGTCTTCTGTGCATCATTTCAGACATTTTTCTCTTTTTATTTACATTAGTTGATAGAAAATCTATGGTATTGTTTTTCTATAAACTATTTTTTACTGTCTATTTTGTCCCACAATTTGCTTCTTTCACCTAAAATGCTTCATAGAGCTCTCCATGGTCCTATATAGAGATCTAGTTTATACCTAATGGCTATATATTGTTCCTCAGTGTGACGGTACCACAGTTCATTTATACATTCTTTTTTTCAAGGTGTTTCCAATTTTCCATCATTAATATCTGCATTGAACATCCTTGGAGATGCTTGCCTTAGTACTGACTAGGTCCTGGGTGCTCTTCAGGTATTTTCTAGTTGTGATCCTATTCAAGTCTGTCAGCAGTTTTATAAGGTAAGTACTGACATCATCTTTGCTTAGTGGGTGAAGTGTCTGAGATGAACTTGTGAAAGCTTCTTTAGGGAATAATAGTGAACGGTGCATTTGCAAAGCCACTTACCTCCTCTAAGTATAGCATGTTTTAAGGGCATCCAGGCTTCATTTTCCTGGAGAAGGAAATGGCAACCCACTCCAGTACTCTTGCCTGGAAAATCCCATGGATGGAGGAGCCTGGTAGGCTACAGTCCATGGGGTCGTAAAGAATCGGACACGACTCAGTGACTTCACTCACAGACTTCATTTTAATCAGGTATGGTAAGACATGCAGACATGGAAATGACTGTCAGGAAAGAAGTTTTTGTTTTTATTGCTCACAATTCCTTAGAAACAGGGCCACTTGGGGAAGCACCAGGGCCAATCAGGAGGCAGAGGAAGTGAGGGGAACAGTGGGGAATGTGTGGTTTTCACGAGAAGGAACAGGTGAATGGGTAAGCAAGTTTATAACAGGCTAGTTTTAATAATTTCAGTATGCTTTGAGCATAGGGGCTGGTACCTGGCCCTGGGGTGATGATGGCGGATGGATAGGGATTCTAAGTGGGAGAGCCCATAAAGGAGGCGGTGGGGTATGGGGCTGGGCTCTAGTTTACTTTCTCCAGGAACTGGTCACACTTTGCAAAGTAGCTAAGTTTAAACCTGGAGAAGGGAAGATTCAAGGGGACATAAAGCCATTTCCAAATGGATAAAGCACTGTCTTAAGGAAGAGGAACTCCATTTAGCTGTGTGGAATCAGGTGGGAGAGCGAGAACCGTGTGTAAAAGTGTCAAGCAGGAAGGTTTCAGTTCAGTACAAACAGGGCTTTTCTAAGAGAGCTGTGGGCAAACATAACAGGCTTCCTCAAGCATTCCATGAGGCTAGGAGACCACTTAGTAGAAACGTCAGGGAGAGGACTCAAGCATAGGTCCTGCGATTGTACCAGATACAGTTGGATGCTTCTTTCAATCCTGATATTCTGTGTACAAAACGATTGTACTTACCAGTTGAAGAACAGATCTCAATAGTGCTTGGACATATCTCTTATGATTGTAAGGACATGCCCTTGGTCAACAAATGTGTTTGACCTTTGTTTATTTGATGGCTTATTAGAAAGCTTTAGAAAATTTACTGAGAAAAACAAATACTCAGACTCTAGAGCTCAACCATAGGACCTTGGAAGCACTGGGTACACAACTAAGATTTTGGAGCCCCAAAGCACAAGCTTGAGCAGAAATCAACTTGTGCTCGTGAAAACCTTAATCTGTGCAAAGTGGCTGTCTCAGTTTTACAAAGCAAAAATAAAGAAAAAACAAACAAACCAGAGTTTGATTTATCTACTAAAAGTTAATCCTGAAAGAATTTGTTAAAATGACTCCCAGTAAGAGTCGACAGAGTGAAAGCTGTAATTTCTCAACTACCAACAGTATGTGAGATTTGGAGAAAGCCGATAGAAGCAAAGGATGAAATTTGGTAGAGGTATCCGAAACACGGTTTTCCTATCCACAAATTGCTACAGAATAACGGGGTGCCGCTGGTACTAAAGTGCTGCCTGCCCGCACCATCTCATTAGCTCACACCCCTTAACTACCAAGGCCGGAACGTCGGCCTCGGGGTCAGGCAGGCTGAGAAAGAACAGTCTCGCGCAGGGATGGCGGGCGGTCAGAACCAGTGGGGAGTGAGTCGCCCCCAGCTGCCGGGTGGGCTCGGACACCGAAACCCGCACAGAGGCAGCACCCACGAGGCGAACTCTCTCCACCGCGGGCTGGGAGGGCAAACACCCTCGACCCCTTTGGGTTCCGATCCACGGCCCCGGAAGCCTCCCCCCCGGCCCACTCGCCCCCTCCTCCGTACTCAACCTTCTGCGCGCCCGGCGGACGTTCCGAGGGGCCAGCGCATCTCCAAGACAGGCTAAGAGTCCTCGCGCCCTACGCCTGCGGCTCGCAAAAGGGCAAATAACCAGGGAGCCAGGGAGGGAGAAGAGTGTCATTCGGGCTCCGAGGGGACACGCAGAGACTTAGTGGGACGGGGTTGGGGGCGAGTGGGAGGGGTGGGACGAGCTAAACGCTGGAAAAGAAGAGACTTTGGCAATAAGCCACCTCCCCTCCCTGCCCATGTGAATCCGGTCGGTGGTGAGGGTCCTGGGGTGGGGACCGGCCGGGCTGCGCACTCTTGTCCCACGGATCGGAGCCACCGCCGCGGCAGTAGCCTAAAGCGGGGCGCTCTCCCGCGCCATGCGGCGCGCTGGGGGCACGGGAGGACGCGCGGAGGCCGCGGCGGCCACCCGGGCTCGCGCGCAGCACAGGCGGGGACCGCCGTGGTCCTGCGCCAGCGAAGGGACGACCCGGCCTTAGGCGTGTGGGAACCATCCGCCAGGCGCCTGGCGTCCCGACAGGTGCAGGCGCGCGGGCTTCCCATTGGTCGCGGCAGCGGCGACGGCGGGCCCCCTCCCCCTCCCGGCGCTCGCGAGGCCCCTTCCCCAGTCGCGGCGCCGGCTACTGCCATCCTTCCGACCCCCCCGCCCCCAACCCCCGCACCCGTCCGCTCCCGGAGCCTGGGGAGGGAGAGCGCGGGCGGGGGGAGCTGGAGCCGGGCGCCGCCGCCGCCGCCGCCGCCGAGGCTTCCGTCTCTCTCGCTCGCGCAGCGGCGGCAGCAGAGGTCGCGCACAGATGCGGGTTAGACTGGCGGGGGGAGGAGGAGGAGGAGGGAAGGAAGCTGCATGCATGAGACCCACAGGTAAGACCGAGCGCCCTGGAAGGGGCTTTCCATCCCGGGGAGGCGCGCGCAGGCCGAGGAGGGGGAGTTGGTGCCTGGTTCCGCTCCCCGAGGGAGGATTTTTTTTTTTTTTTTCTGACAGCGCAGAGAAATCTCACTGGGGACTGGGCAATAGGACCCATCCCGATCCTGGGGAAAACCAGAGAAGTAGCTGGGGGGATCCGGTGGCCACATCGTGAGATCCCTAAGAGTGAAATGTACAGGCCCAGGGAAAAGTGTTTTTTCAGCCTCCAGAGGCTGAAAGGCTTTAGACTTTCCTGTGGCGGCCACAGCCGCTGAATCCCGGGGACCGGCGCAGAGCCAATGTGCGCTAACCCCTGCCCTCCCTCCCCTCCTCCATCCTTACTGCACGCGCAGCATCCCGCGGCGGCTGTTACTCAGTGTACCCCGCGCTGGGTGTGTGTGTGGGGGGGAATCTCGCCGTGGGAAAGGGGGCGGGGGCCCGCGCGGGGGAGGAACGGGGATGGAGCCGGGGAAACCGAGGCTCCGGGTCCCAGGGCGGAGAGGAGGCGGGGGGAGCGTGGCCCCCGAGCCCCGGCAGCCTGGGGTATTGTCGTGTTCGCTCCTGGTTGCAGACTCTTGCAAGCCGGATGCCCTCTGTGGATGAAAGATGTATCATGGAATGAACCCGAGCAATGGAGATGGATTTTTAGAGCAGCAGCAGCAGCCTCAGTCCCCCCAGAGACTCTTGGCCGTGATCCTGTGGTTTCAGCTGGCGCTGTGCTTCGGCCCCGCACAGCTCACGGGCGGTGAGTGACCCCGCGGTGGCCGGGAGGGCCTGGGATGGCAGGGTGGGGGAGCCTGGCTGGCAGCACAGCCCTGGCCCCTCCAGTCCCCACCTCCCCCCAACCCCCCAGACTTCTGGGGTACCGGAGAACCTGAGGAGCCCCTGTGTCCCAGCCCGAGACCACCCTTCTTCGTTCAAAACCCCTGGAGTTCCCAGAAAATTCCTCTGTGGAGCCTGCACAGATTCACACACCCACATTCTGTCTGGAGCTTCCCACTAGCCACCCAGCCTGGCTTCTCCGAAGGAAAGACAATAAACCTGGGCCCATTATTTTCACTTTGACCAAAGAGAAGCTGAGAGAGAGGAAGAGAGAGAAAGTGGTGCCTTTGTGGTAAAGGAGTAAAGTTTGTGGACCTTTGTGCCCTCGGGAGGCAGAGGTCAGGTTTCAGCTTCTGGATTTAGGCGAGAGTTGCAAAGAAGCACCTTTGTGAATGTGACGGGTCTGGAAACGTGGCCAGACTGGCTGCAGGACAGGTTTATTTGAAAGTTAACTTTCTCTCGCCTTGGGAGGTGGACTGTTCGGGCATGCCCGTGTGCGCTGGGGGTGGGGAGGGGATGCAGAGGTCTTCCTTCAGAGGTGCTTCTGGAGGATTGCTTGGTTCATTCAATCCGACTTACAGGGGAAGTAAAGCCGAGTGCTTTCTGTGAAGTGGAAGTTAGCTGAAATCAGATTCAGAGCCTCAGTCCCCATAGGTGCTTAATCTCTAACATAATTGGCTCTAGGGGACAGGGCTCTCTTTTGGCTGTGGTAGAGGAAGACTCATGCCTTTTCTGTCTGAATTTCAGAGCCTTAGAGTCTTTCTGCCTCCATTGCTCATTGCTGTCCGTTCCAGATTCTCTGTGAGAGCTTGGTGATGTGGGCATGTTAAAAGGGCAGAATCGTGTGTCTGGAGCTGACAAACATTAGTACATAAATAAATCATAATTGCTGGAAAAGCAGGTATTGAATGATGTAAATAAACCATTTTAGTGTTTTAAAATATTGCTGTTTTAGAGAATTCAAAGGTTAAGATGGAAATAAGGAGTGAAAAATTAGCAGAAGTGGGGGAGGGGAGTACCAAGTTGGGCTTTAACACAGAATAATCAATAACTCAGGTGCTGCACTTAGAGGTCTGAAAGATGCCCGGAGTCTAAAGGAGCTTCTTGTGATGTGCCTGTCTATGGGAATTAGTGAAAAGATGCTTTAGATGTGGGAGCTGGTTATGTTTGGGTTTTGGTTTTTCAACAAGAGGTAACTTTTTTGGTGGTCTTTTTTTGTTTTGTTTTTATAAAATAGAAATGTCTCTGAGGCAGGTGTCCTCTTTATAGAGGACAAAATCAACAGGGATGCTAGGCCAACACCTGTATGGCTGCCTGGGCTCTGGTGACAGCCTCTCCTGCCGTGGGCTTTCGATCCACTTGGAGGGTGAGTAGGACCAGGTGGGCCGGACACCCTTGAGCAGGGCTGGGTCATTACCGCCCCTCTTTTCTCTTCTTGCCTCCAGTTCTGGCTCGTCATTTCTCAGGGGCACCTGATTCTCCATTTTCTCCATCCCTTTCTCGGATCTAGGTGACAGGTTAGTGAGGGTTCATCTACCTGTCTCTTGACTGTTGTTATTGGAAGTGTGCTTGGGCACACTTTCTGAATTTGAAGGCTGGCCCTTGGTTTTGCCATTTGTGTTTACAGAGCACCCCCCCTCAAGGATCTCAGATCTCTGGACACAGCACAGCCTCCCTAGTCTCCCACATTGATCACCCATGTGACTGTACAACACGTCTTTCACTCCTCTTTTCTGAGAGGTGAAGATGTCCGCAAAAAGATCCAGTGCTTCAAAGAAGATGGGAGGAGGGTCGCCTGTCACCTCTCCCTTCTTAGTTCTCCCAAGCTGCAGAAAGGCTGACCATCAGCTTTGCGTCATTTGGAACTCCCCTCAGGCTGAGAGTGTGATTTCTGGAAGATGATTTATCATTTCAAAATTCTTCCATGAATAAACAGTTTGGGTGGAGAAAGGTGGTGGATGATGTTTTGTGGAGTTCACTATACAGAGATTTGTTTCTTAGGAAAGAAATCCACGTGGAGGGTCCAGGAGGGTTTTATTAAATTAAAATCATCTTAATTCCAGACCAGTGCTTCTAAAATTCTCACGTGCATACAAATCACCTAGGATCTTGTGAAAAGGCGGATTCTAGTTCAGCTGGTCTGGAGTGGGCCTGAGAGTCTCCATTTCCAACAAGCTCACATGTGATGCAGTCACTGCTGGTCCCAGGACCACACTTTGATCCATGGAATTCTCCAGGCCGGAATACTGGAGTGGGTAGCCTTTCCCTTCTCCAGGGGATCTTCCCAACCCAGGGACTGAACCCAGCCCTCCTGCATTGCAGATGGATTCTTTACCAGCTGAGCCACACTTTGATTAGCAATGCTTTAGACTAAAGCATTCATTAAGATAAGTTGGATTAAGATAACTCTGGATTTTCTGCCACCTCTATCCAATACCCAAATACAAATGACCTGTGAAAGAGGGAAAGTCTCACCCAGGTATCTAATCTTTCAGTGGTACACAGAGATGAAACTCTGTGCTAAAACTCAGTGCTGTTTTTTTTTTTTTTTTTCACCTAACCGTATAAAAGGTGCCTGTTTAATAGACACTGCTCTGAAATGTGGATTTTCATTTTTGATTGCTTTCAATGGAAAAGGAACATGACAATAGCAAGATATAATAGTCTCAGCTAGGCACAAAAAAAAAGAAAAAAAGCTTGTGCCCAATACAAGAGTGACAGAAAAAGCCTAAACTGGAATGGGAGAAATTGAGAAAATGATCAGATGAAGAAAAGGGAGGGAAAGAACTCCATGGAAAATGAAATGCTTTGTCCTAGAAAGCTGGAGGGTCAATTCAATTCTTAGAGCCCTAAGAGAGCTTTAATGAGCCTGAGTTGGCCTGAGGGGACCTTTGGATGGCTCTTTCCAGGTTGTCATTTGTATATTAAGGAAAAAGTGCCCGCAGTTGGGACCACTAACATCATGTACTGTGAGAGGACTAATACCAGGTTCATGGGGAGACACAGGACCTCGCTGTGCCCAGAGTCTGCGTGGAGCATGGCTTCTTTGGCTGCTTCTTTCTTCTTTCTCAGTGTGTGTTCCCAGAGATGGTATTTGGGTATTTGATCACTGCCTGGAGTGGTCCACCCAGGCTTAGAGGAAGAAAGCTAAAAGTTTGCTTTGTATTTAGGTTCTTGAAGGCAAACTCATTAGTGCATCCTTGTATTATCAGGAGGGCTTCCCTGGTGGCTCAGTGGTAAAGAATCTGCCTGCCAGTGCAGTAGACACAGGTTCAATCCTTGGATCAGAAAGATCCCCTGGAGAAGAAAATGGCAACCCACTCCAGTATTCTTGCCTGGACAATCCCAAGGTCTGAGGAGCTTGGCAGGCTGCAGTCCCTAGGGTTGTAAAAGAGTCAGACATGACTAGACAGCTAAACAACAGCAACATATTAGGAACAGTGGCCAAGTTCTGCTGCTTGATAGCTTTGCAGCTTTGGGTCTTAGAAGCCTCAGTTTCCTCATCCATAAAATGAGGATGATGCTACCTGATTTCTGGGGTTGCTGTGATGAACGCACTCAGTAAACATAGACAGTAGTGAGGAGGGGGACTAACCAATCTATAACCTTCCCCACTTGTTTTATTCATCCAGCAAACACTGAGCACTTGTCCCCCACCCTGTGCCAAGCACTGTTGTATATAATGTTCTTTTTACCTTGAAGAACCATTCCTTCCTCTGTATTTTTTGCCCCATGAACACATTTCTCTTTAAGACCCAACTTGAAATGCCATTATCTCTTTCACATTTCATTTCTCCCCTGAGCTAAGTGTAACCCTTTGTCGTGGTGTTTTCTCATCCACGAGACTGTAAGCCCACTGAAGGGAAGAACTTTGACTCTATCTATTTTCATGTCCCGGGCACCCAGCATGGCATCTCATCCATAGAAGGTGCTCAGTAAGGCTGATGGACAGCAAGAAAAAAGATTTCAAATTACTGCTGCACAACTTAGAAAATAACTACCATGGACGGTTACAGAAGTGTAAGAGTGTCAGGGCAGTTCAGGCCACTTCCATTTGGAGGCAGTCTAGGAGGTTGGTAGAAAACTCAGGAAAGAGATGGCCCTGAGGATGGGATCTGAGGGAGGGAATGGTTAGAGCATCTTGAAAGAGGCGTTTTGTGAAGGGATAAGGAGTTGGTGACATGTTTGGACCATTCAGGGAGAGAGAACAGTCTAGATCTTCTGGAACATGGTATGAAAAGTGAAAATGTTAGTTGTTCAGTCATGTCTGACTCTTTGTGACCCCTTGGACTGAAGCCTGCCAGGCTTCTCTGTCCATGGAGTTCTCCAGGCACGAATACTGGAGTGGGTAACCATTCCATTCTCCAGGGGTTTGTCCCAACCCAGGGATCGAACCTGGGTCTCCTGCATTGCGGGCAGATTCTTTACCGTCTGAGCCACCAGGAAGCCCAGAACATGGTGTACATGCAGGGAGCCAGCCCGTAAGGAGGGCGAATAGATTGGAAGCCTATCGTAAGTGTCCTTGGAAGCCCAAGTGAGGATTCTGAGTGTCGCACAGCAGGCAGCGGGGGCCACTAAGGGTTTAAAGCAGGAACATAACATCATCTGAGCTGTGCTGTTTCCTTTCTCTGCTTCTGAGGCTCTGACCCAGGGCACTCCCTGTGGGGCTGTCCTGTCTGCACATTAGAGTTGCGTCACTAGTACCATTGGCTTAAGCTCCTTGAGGTCTTGTTTGGGCCACGTGGCTGTAGCATTGAGCTGTGTGCCAGGAGACAGGAACAAATGCTGTCTGCCTGGCTCACTGATTTGGAGGTGTTGTCCTTTGGAGTTTGAGGAAGATTTCTTACACTATGGAGCATAAACTTTTCTTGTGATGTTATGTCTAAAAGCCACAATTTCAACCTGTACTTAATTCAGTCTGTA